ATGACAGTTATTATTTGTCTCTTCCTTCAAGAATGTCAGCTTCAGGAGGGCAGGGATTCTTCCTGCCCTGTTCCCTATTGTACCCCAATGGTTGGCCCATGGAAAGTATTTGACTGGATGAGCTATTGGAAGTTTCCGTTTGTTTGCTTGAGACCAATGACTTGGGACATTCTTTGTGAATGTCTTTGATGTGACCTCTGAGATAGGCAGGGCATAACTTCACTTACGTGTACTCTCAGGCAGCAGCAGGTAGTGTGGTCCAAGAAGTTCTTGCTTCCAGTCTGGTCTCCTCTGAAAACATGCTCAGCTCTTCCTTCTCTTTTCTGAAACATGTTCCAGGGAAAGGAGCTGAGGAAAGAGCTGAAACAGAATATGTTTTGATGTCCAGGGAAATGTGTATCCTACCACAATGAGACAGGCAGAGTACAATGAGTTCTTACTGAATACCTATGAAGGCAGCCAACATAATACTTTCTCTCTTTCTAATTCTCACTAAGCTGTCAGGTAACATTATTATCTTTATTTCAAATATGATCAAACAAAAGCTTGATGCATTTCATTCTAGTCTTTTGTTGGCCTGGGCATCATTTTTTAAAAAAAATTGTTAATTATCACATACCTATATCCATCGTAAGTATTTTCCCAAGGGGTTGTCATTATAACCCTGTAAGAAATAAAGTGAATTTTTCATTATAAAAGTCAGAAACATTGTTTTAGAAAAGTTGAACTATGATAAAAATGAAAATAGAAAGAAGGAAACAAAATCATCTATAGGCCCATGATCTGAAGACCACCAATCATGCAATGGCCACTGACACTTTATTTTATATAAGATGTTGTTGTGACTTGCTTTTTAATAGTTGTGTCCTCTCTACTGAGTGATTACATTATAGTCTACCTACCCATTCCCCTATTGTGGGAATTTAGTTAGTTTACACACTTAGGTAAAGTATGTCCCCATAAGTGAAGTCTCTAGAATAGCACAAACTGAATTTGGGGTACAAATTGTTTTATGGCTCTTCCTAGAGGCAGTGCTGTTGCCAGGGGTGTGGTGTGGGTGGTGAGTACTAACAGCCTATGATCAGCCTTCCAGCCCTTCCCCCCCCTAACTGCCCCCCCCCCCACCACCTCTGTCCTCCTTAGTCAGCAGGTAAGCTTGCCAGAGGTGTGGCCTGTCCTGGCTATTGGCGTTGCTGTGTTCTCTGCTCTCCAAATGTCAGGGATTGGTTCTTTCTTCCTTTTGAAGTTTCAACTTACGTAAATAGCCGGTGGGACTCACCCACTCTTTTTCTTTCTGAGCCAAGAAGGATGACAATATTCTTTTCTTTGTTTAGGAAGTTACCTCTGTTTGCTTAGAAAGCTTCAAAGCGGCCGAAACCGGTTTGGCTCAGTGGATAGA